AGCCTGGGGGTCCCTAAGTCGGTGACGGTGATGGTGATGTTGTACTCAGATCTTGTCTCTCTGTCCAGTGCTTTTTCCGAAACTAGAGTGAAAAAGTTCTTGAAGGTTGGTTTCAGAAAAAAAGGGAGCTCGTCTTGAATAGAGCAAACCATCCTCCCATTGTCCCCGGCATCTTGGTCTCGGACGCTGAAAAGAGCAACCAGAGTCTCTGAGGCGTTCTCTGGAATTGTCTTTGTAAATGATGAGATGGTCACTTCTGGTGCATTATCATTTATATCTACTACTTTAACCAGAAGACTGCATTCTTCTGAAAGACCCCCACCATCTGTTGCCTGAATATTTATAGTGTAGAACTGTATTACTTCAAAATCCAGGCATGATCTCAAGTGAACCTCCCCAGATATTGGATTGATTTCAAATGTTTTACGAATATCTTCTGATGCATGCAAAAATGTGTATGATATTTTCCCATAATTTCCTGAATCCATATCCTTAGCAGAAATGGTGATAATCCAGGAGCCAGCAGGTGTGTCCTCCAGGACATGTACTTCATAGAGCCTCTGAGCAAACTCAGGGGCATTGTCATTGATGTCCAAGACCTTGATGAGAACCAAAGTTGTTCCAGTCCTGGGTGGAGATCCACCATCCAGTGCTATGAGTGTTAATGTGAGCTCAGGCTCCTCCTCATGATCTAATGCTCTGTCCAGGACCAGTTCTGGGTATATCTTTCCATCACCACTGTCTCGAATTTTAATGTAGAAATGAGAATTAAGGCTAAGTGTGTAGTTTTGGAGACTGTTGGTTCCTACATCCAAATCTTGGGCACTCTCCATTAGGAATGTGGTTCCACTACTGGTACTTTCTGATATTTTAATAAGTATTTCCTTGTCTAGAAACATAGGGGAGTGATCATTTATGTCTTTGACATGCAGCTCACCCCGAAAAAACTCTAAAGGATTTTCCAATACCATCTGAAAATGTAGCACACACGGCTCGGTGAAGCCACAGAGCTCTTCTCGGTCCAGTTTCTCATTTAGGAGCAAATCCCCCGTCAGTAAATCAAGTTGTAAGTGCTTTTCATTATCATCAGACACTACCCGGGCCTCCCGTGAGGACAGCTCCTCTACCCCAAGCCCTAGATCCCTTGCAAGATTTGCCACAAAAGAACCAACTTCTGTTTCCTCTGCCACTGAATATCGCACCGATTCAGGACCCGCCTGAGATAATCCCAGCAAAACAAAGAGAATCAGGACTTGCCTTTTCTGCAGAGCGAGCACCCCTTTGATCTCCATGGCTCCTTCCAGCAACCTCTTTTGTAGAAAAATTTAAGTTCAACCCTAATTTTGGAAGCTGAAGCTGAATTTTAAAAAATAAGATTCCCCCCCCCCCCCCCGGAGAGTATATAGTCCTCTAGCAGCTTTAGTAGATGAAGCTCCTTTACTCCCTCTCTTCTCAGTGGCTTGGATGTTCTCTGTTCCCTGAATAATGGAGCCCACAGTGTTGTCCATGCACTGATTTCATCTTATCCTACAGCGCCACCATGTGTTTCCATGAATTTTTTTTAAAAATTCTGTTTTCTTTCAACAAATAATTCATGAATACCTCTGGAGTATTTTAAAGCAAATCCCAGACATCATATATCTTTACCTCTAAATACTTCACCAAGTATCTCTCATAGATAAAGGCTTTAAAATATAAATACGATACCACTATTAAAACCAGCAAATTTAGCAATAATTCCTTGATATACTTTATACTCAGTCTGTGTTTGGTATTCCTCATTTTTCTCCAAAATGTTTTTTACTGTTGGTTTGTTTGAATCACGATCCAAACAAAGTCTATACAGGGCATTTAATTAGTGCTGTTTTGAATGCTGACAAGAAGACTCTATTAAAATGTCTTGAACTGAAGGGAGGTTGAAGAAAGATGTCCTGAATTGAAGAAATAATATTTTATTTAGGCCATTTCTTGAGAATTTCAAATATATTATCTCCTTTACTCTTGTAAATACTTTTGAATTCAGTTAACTATAGTTAGTAATGTCATTACCTTTTTCTCACATATTTTAAAAATATACATGTGGGGGCACCTGGATGACTCAGTCAGTTAAGCCTCGCTCTTGATTTCAGCTCAGGTCATGATCTCACCGTTTGCAGGATCCAGCCCCCACATCGGGCTCTGCACTGACAGTGTAGAGCCTTCTCAGGATTCTTCCTCTCCCTCTCTCTCTGCCCCTCCCCTGCCTGTGCTCTGTTTCTCTTTCTCAAAATAAATAAATAAACATTTTAAAAAATTTAATTTACATGTAAGAATGTGGAATAAATAAAATAGATTTAGTCCTTGTCTTTATGGAGTTCACTGGCTGAAAATTTGGCAGACACATTATTAAAATATTTCACAATGTATTCATAGGTAAAGAGTAATAGAGAAATACCTAGAAGGGCCATCTTGTACCTAGGAGGCAGCATAGCATATGAACATGGATTCTGGAACCAAAATATTTACATTTGAATCCTACTTCTACCATTCAAAATCTTCAGTCTTAGACAAGTAATGTACCTCTGTTCCCTTACCTGTAAAATAGGGGTGATAATGGTATTTACCTCCTAGGATTATTATAGTAGGAATCAAATGAATTAATATTTACAAAATTGCTAGTAAGTGCTAGTTAAGTACCTACTAAAAAATAAAATCTAGCCCACAAATTTGAACATCAGTGAAAGCTTTCCTAAGGTAGTAAACTATAAGTTGTGATCTGAAGGAGCTAGCCAGGAGAAGGAGTGTTTCCGACAGACCTTTTGAAGAACAGAAAGAAGTTAAATATGCCCTGAACTTTAAACCATAGAAGGGGATAATTTAAAAATGAGACTGGGGGGAGCACTGGGTGTTGTATGTAAGCGATGAATCATGGGAATCTACCCCCCAACCCCCGCAAACCAAGAGCACACTGTATACGCTGTTTGTTAGCTTGATAATAAATTATATTTAAAATATAAAGGAAACTGATACTAAATGTTTTTGTTCCCCCAAATTCACATGTTTAAACCTAATCCCCAGTATGATGTTATTTGGAGAGGTAAGGCCATTGGGAGGTGATTTGGTCATTAGGTTGGAGCTCTCATGGGTGGGATTAGTGACCTTATAAAAGAGATCCTAGAGAGGTCCCTTGTGAGGACACAGCAAGAAGAGAACCACTAGGAAGTGGACTCAACAGACATAGAATCTGCTTACACCCTGACCTTGGACTTCCCAGCCTCCATAACTGTGAGAAATAAATGTTTGTTGTTTAAAAAAAAAAGGGGAGACTGGTGGGGGTGGGGAGAGTGGGGTGAGGACACAAGTTATTATATAGGATATAGCATGAATTTAAAATTTTATCCTATGGAAAATTATAACACAATGTAGAGTTTTAAACATTTGATTAACATGATTGCATCTGCATTTTTGAAAAATCAGTGTGAAGGAAGTATAGAGAATCAATTTCAGGAGGAATGACTGGAATCAGAGACACCAGTTAGGAGATGGTGGCAGCCTGTTTAAAAGTAATGCCAGTGTGGATGGAGAGAAGAGGGATGCTTAGAAAGATACTTAGGATCTGGTCACTGATAGGTTGCATGTGGAGAAAAAAAAGGAAAGAATCAAGGATGATTAACACACTTCTGGACTTGGCAACTGGATGGTTAGTTGTGTCATTCCCTAAGACAGAGAACATTGAAGAACAAAAAAGACTGAAGTGGAAAAAGCTGAAGTCAATTTTGTACATGCTGATACTAACATGAATGCCTTGGGAGATATGTGTAAGTGTTCGCACATGCATGTCCCTATGTGGAGCTGTATGTAATTATATATAGAATATAAACTGGGGTAGATATGGACTTTGGGTTTCACCAGCATGTATATGGTGATTGAAACCATGAGAATTCTAAGATAATCAAGCAAAAGTATGTCAGGTAACAACAGAAGAGGCAAAAGTCTGAAAAAAAACACCTTCATTAGAGGAGAGGGGAAATAAAGTATCTTTTAAAAGACAAAGACAGCTCAGAGTTGAGAATCATGAAACCAAAAGCAAATAGCATTTCAAGGATATGAGGAAGATCAATGGTAGCAAATGCTTCAGTAAACTCAAGAAAAATGAATGTTGAAATGATTCCTTGGATTAAGAAGATGGTCATTGTGGAGGATTCTAATAGATGTCTGCCAAAACCTGTTCCCTTTATAGAACAGGGAACCTGTTCCCTGTACCCAGGCACATTGGCTATTCATAGTTGCCAGTCCCAGTCTCCCTTGTAGTTAGGCATGGCCAATTGAATTAAGTTCTCACTGGGGTGCCTGGGTGGCGCAGTCGGTTAAGCGTCCGACTTCAGCCAGGTCACGATCTCGCGGTCCGTGAGTTCGAGCCCCGCGTCAGGCTCTGGGCTGATGGCTGGGAGCCTGGAGCCTGTTTCTGATTCTGTGTCTCCCTCTCTCTCTGCCCCTCCCCCGTTCATGCTCTGTCTCTCTCTGTCCCAAAAATAAATAAAAACGTTGAAAAGAAAAAAAGAATTAAGTTCTCACTAACATTGTGAATAGAATTTTTGTTTGCCACTCCTAGGTCTAGAATAGAAGACATCTGGATGTGTTTCCTCCCTCCCAGCCAACTAGAACCTAGATGTGGCAGTGACTTGTTACTTGGAACAAAGGACTGTAATGAGCAAAGCTGCCTCGTATACCTAGTCATTTACACTTGAACTGTTTTAAGGAGATACACACTTTTACAAGCCACTATGTAATTGTACTGCTTTGTTCAGCGACATAACCTTATCTAACTTGTACAGAAATCTTCAATCACTTTTACAGTAGCGGTTTAGAATGGTCACAATGAAAATCAGATTGCACTTGGTTGAAAAGAGAGAAGGAAAAGGAAGTAAAGATGACAATCCTTTCAAATTTAGCTCCAAAGAAAAAAATTGATAGTCTCTGGAGGAGTCTTGAGAGTCAGTAGGGTATTTTTTTAAACCTAGGGAAATTTGAACTTATTTAAAATGCTGATTTGTAGTATTCAATAGAGAGGGAGAAAAGAGAAGACTTAATCAAAGTGAAGCCCCTAGAAGGTGGTTAAAGATAGGATCCAGAAAACAAATGAAGGGATTGGACTTGGGTAGAAGGTCATTATAAGTACCGATGCTATCCAGTGTGTAGGTTTGGGGCCAGAAATTTAAGAGAATTCCTATCTGATAGATTCTATTTTCTTGGTAAGGTATTAAGCAAGTTATCTGCTGAAAGGGGTGGGTAAGTAAGTAGTACAGTGAGAAATTTAAAGTAAGATAACTAGGTTTGAAGTAGTTGTTATGAAGAATAGAAGAGAAAACTGATTAGGAAAATATAAAATGATTTCTTGGTCTTGAAAGCCCAATTAAGTTTAGATGTGATAAAATTAGTGTGATAGTAGTGATAATTCTCTAACTTTCCACTTAGAGAGTGCAGCATCCCTGACGTGACAGAAGAGGAAGGAGACAATTATATTCATCTGGAGTGGATTTTCATCAGGTGGTTTTTGTGAAGGAAAATTGAACGAGGGAATAGAGAATATGGGCATGAGGATGATTAGAAGTGGTAGACCAGGGAATCAGCTGAACAGGAGAGAAATTAGAACATGAAGGGAGTTAATATATAGTAAAAGCATCATGGAATAAAGATTCTAATAAGGTAAAGACAAAATGTGACAGGAATAGCAGAATGAGAGGATTAAAGACATAGTGGATTATATTCTCAGAGAGATATCTGAAATTTTTATTTCGTATAAAGAACCAATTTGGGGTGGTGGAAAAGTACAGCACATGGCCAGGGCATAAGGATTGAGCCAGAGGAGAGGTGAATATCTAGGGATTGAAAAGCCATGTTGTTAGATTAACCAGTGGACCTGGGAGTGGTAGCAGGACTTGAGGTAGAAAGGAGATGAGCAGAACAAAGTGTTTGTAAGCTAAAATGTCTTTATGTCCTTTCTCATAGTGAATCCCAATGTAAATTTTTACTTGATTTTTATTGGTAATGATTTTCAGGGAAATCATCTCTGGGAGGCTGGGCCATCTCTCACATCTCCGTTTTGTAAGTGACCTTTTCCCCAGTGGACAATGTATAGTCCTTTGATATAAAATTGGCTGATGCAGTTTGAATTCTATGCATTGGCTTAAATTTAACTATAAATGAGTTATTTGATGCATAAGAACAAAATTTGTTTTTAGTTATACCTTTGAAGAGAATTGGTTGGTTGCTTTTATCTGGGCATCTGAGCTCCTGAAGGCCTGGCCACTCTCCATTAGAGTCAGGAAACACATAGTTCTTTTTATAAATACACAAGTCCCAAGTCCTCCTGTTCAGATTTTTGGAAAAACTTGAAGCAAGAAAACCTAGTTTTTTTTTCTGCTCTTGCAACACATTAGATTTTCTGCCTGAGCTATTTGAAATTTTTAAATTTACATTTATTTATTTTTGAGAGAAAGAATGAGACAGAGCATGAGCAGAGGAGGGGCAGAGAGAGGAGATGCAGAATCTGAAGCAGGCTTGAGGCTATGAACAAGCATTCGGCACAGAGTCTGATGTGGGGCTCAAACCCGTGAACTGTGAGATCATGACCTGAGCCTAAGTCAGACACTTAACCGACTGAGCCACCCAAGCGACCCGTGCCTGAGCTATTTGAACTGCACTTTCCCCCTCCCATATTATAGATGACAGAAGGCCCATCTAACTTGGGACACAGGCTGCTAGAACCACTCTCACCACTGCTATTAATAGCATTATTGACATATCACTTACATACCAGAGAGTTTTCCCATTTAAAGTGTACAGTGCAATGGTTTTTAGTATATTTCCAGAGTTGTGCAATTATCACCACAGTCTAATCTCAGAACACCATGCCCTAAAAAGAAACCTGTTACCCTTTAGCCATTCTCCATCCTATACCCTCCCTCCAGCTGTAGGCAACCACTAATCTGCTTTCTGTCCCTATAGATTTGCCTGTTCATAACATATCATACGAATGGGATCATACAATATAGGATATTTTTAAAGTTTATTTATTTATGAGAGAAGGCACAATTTGGGGAGAGGAAGAGAGAGAAGGAGAGAGAATCCCAAGCAGGTTCCATGTTGTCAGCACAGAGCCCA